GCCATGCTTAAAGAGGCATGGACTTCAACTCCCAGAATTCCCTGGCCCACATGCTAATAAACTTAAGCCTGTGGACTTCAACTCCCAGAATTCTCTGGCCAGCCATGCTTGAAAATGCATGGACTTCAACTCCCAGAATTCCCTGGCCAGCCATGTTTAAAGATGCCTGGACTTCAACTCCCAGAATTCCCTGGCCCACATGCTAATGAACTTTAAGCCTGTGGACTCGGTTTGATTCCTCCGAGTTCTGTGTTCGAACTTGAAAGGGTGAGCGGGAAGTGGGCGCGGCATGACCGTCCCTCCGCCCTTTTGCACAGTCCTAAAGCTGGGAAGGGTCCCTAAGAGGTCATCCAGCCCAGCCCCTGAAGGCTTCTCTCCCCCCCTTCACCATCTCTGAAAGGGCGACAATCCAGCCTCAGTTTGACTCCCAGAATTCTGCCTTCGACTTGAAAGCAGGTCTATAGGCCCCGGCATGACAGCCCCCCCCCCCCCCCCCCCCCTCCGCCCCTTGCCCACCCCCCCCGCCCCCCCCCCCGCAGGGGCCCCCCCCCCCCGGCCCCCCCCCCCCCATCCAGCAGGGCTGCTACTCCTCCCCCGCCCTCCCCGCTTGCACCTTACCCAGGTAAGTGCCATAGGTGACATTCCTGTACTCCTCCCAGGAGATGGAGCCATCTTGGTTCAAGTCATACTCCTGCCACTGGCGCGCTACGTTCTCAGAGACGTACTTCTTCTGCGCCGCCTTAATCCAGTCCTTCAGCTCCCCCTCAGTCACAAACCCATCCTTATCCGTGTCTATTTTGCTCACAATCGCGCTACGAGAAAAAAAAGGGGGGAGGGGGAGGGGGGCAAGGTTGAGCCTGGGGAGGGGCAGCTTAAGGGCCCGACCTACCTAAGACGTAGCCGTAGGTGGCGTTCTTATACTCCTCCCACGAAATCAGGCTGTCCCCGTTGAGGTCGTGGCCCTTCCACTGGCGCTCCACGTCCTCGTAGATCCAGCGCTTCTGGGCAAACTTAATCCAGGCTTTCAGCTCCTCCACCGTTACAAACCCGTCTTGGTCGCCATCTATTTTACTTACAATTTTTCTGTCGGGGGGGGGGGGGGGGGGGAAAAAAAAAAAAAAAGAGGAGGCAGGCGCTGAGGGAGGGGTGGGGGGGGAGGGAGAGAGAGAAATATGGAGGGCGGGGAGGTGGAATACCCCCAAAAGTCCAGTTTGTTATGGCCCAGGAGAGCCAGGGGTCTCGACCATGGCTTCTTTAAGAGGGGTGGACTTCAAGTCCCAGAATTCCTCAGTCTGGTTTAAGGTGAATGGACTTCAAGTCCCAGAATTCCTCAGTCTAGTTTAAGGTGAATGGACTTCAAGTCCCAGAATTCCTCAGTCTGGTTT